TACGTGCGAAACTTGAGGGCGCAGGCCGCTGATGTCGACACCATCATCGCATACATGGACGACCAGGTGAGCGACAGGGTGGGTAAAGGTTGGGGGTGGGTGTGTTAGTGTTATGTGTGTGTGTGTGTTTGTTTGTTTGTTTGTTTGTTTGTTTGTTTGTTTGTTTGTTTGTTTGTTTGTTTGTTTGTTTGTTTGTGTTTGTTTGTTTGTTTGTGTGTGTGTGTGTGTTTGTTTGTGTGTTTGTTTGCTCGTTTGGTTGTGTGTGTGTATGCGTGCGTGTGTCGCAGTGGCTGCGCATTCATCTCAACTCACCACCACCACCACCACACCTCCCTCCGCCTTCACCCATCACTGCATCGCCTCGGCGCGCCAGATCAAGACGCTGTCGAAGGACTACCGGCGGGAGCTTGAGATGATTGAGGAGACGTTTATGCGCGAGCGGCAGCAGCTGCTGGACGAGACGCGCCGCGAGTGGGAGGAGGCCATGAAACTCCGCCGCGAGAAGGAACTCAAGGCCATCGAGGTAAAGTGCTGGTGCTGGTGCTGGTGCTGGTGCTAGTGCTGGTGGCGGCGGCAAGCGTGGTGGGGATTGTTGTGCGTCTGTGTGTCTGCGTGTTTCTGTGTGTTTGAGTGTCTGATTTAACCGCCTGGGCGCAACACCCCAACCATCCAACGTCCCATCACACCAGCTCACATCCCACCACACCACCCTATCCCACCACACCACCACCACCACGGCGGCGCCATGAGCGCAGGAGTCGCGCCAACGGATTGAGGAGCAAGAGCGGCAGCTGGAGCACCTGCGCATCAGCGATTCCGAGGAGTACAGCCAAATCAAGCGCAGACTCGAACATGGTCCGTCATGGTTGCAGGAGACGTGTGATGTGGGTGTGGGTGGTGGTGCGCAAGATGTGTGTTGGATGAAGGGTGTGGTGGACAGCAAAGGTGGTCGTGCTGATGAGAGGTCGCTCATCTTTGTATTGCCTCGCTTCCTGACGTTGCGCATGCCTTTGTCAACGCAACGCTCACGCCAACACGCCCTCCAACCCTCCCTTCAACCACCTTCCCATCCCCCATTCCCCATCCACCTATACACCCCTCCATCTGTGTACAGACATCATGAACATGCAGCAGGAGTTGCAGAACATGCGCGCGACGTACCAGCTCAACACAGAGAAGCTCGAATACAACTACCAGGTGCTGTTGTGCTGCGCGAAGGACGTGATGTGCTGATGTGGTTCGTAATGTCGTGACCAGTGCCTTCTGATCTGTGGTCCTAAACACGCATGTCGTGCTCTGTATGCATGTGTGTGTGTGTGTGTGTGTGTGTGTGTGTGTGTGTGTGTGTGTGTGCGTTTGTGTGTGCATTCCAGGTGCTGAAGAAGCGCGATGAGGAGAACACGGTCACCATCTCCAGCCAGAAACGTCGTCTTAACAAGTCAGTGCACGTGAGCTTGCATCAGCTGGCACTCACAGCACCACATGGCGCGTTGACAACCAGTGCCTGCTGCTGTTTTGTGTTTGTCGCAATCCTCATCACCATCACAACGCACCATCATCGCAATTAGGCTGCAAGATGTGGTGAACAACCTGAGAACAAAGCTCAAGAAGCAGGAGGTGCAGATCCAGGCAGAGAACATCGCCCTCACAGAGGTCAACACGCTCACGCTCATGTGATGAGGGGTGGTTGGAGGCACGAGGGACACTGCTCACGCACCTCAACAATTAACATGCCTTCGAGTGTCGCATGCGCCCAAATTGACACAATCGCACAAACAACACAAACAACACCATACGCCCCTCCACACCACCAGGAGTACACACGCGTGACGTCACAGTTCCAAGATCTTCAGCGGAAGGCGAAACATTTTGAGCGCCTCAACCAAAAACGGTGAGTAACCACGTGTGTGTGTGTGTGTGTGTGTGTGTGTGTGTGTGTGTGTGTGTGTGTGTGTGTGTGTGTGTGTGTGTGTGTGTGTGTGCGTGTGTGTGTGTGTGTGTGTGTGTGTGTGTGTATGTGTGTGTGTGTGTGCGCGCGCGCTGATTTCATGTATCATTGAATCCTGACGTCTTCTTCTCCTCGCACACACGCGCACACACATTTTCCCCCGTCGCTTTGTCCTGCTTTTCATCTTCCTGACTCCTCGCTCATCCAACCCGTCCACCCCACCCCCCAACACGTCGGATATGACTGCAGCATCGACGATGTGTGGACGCTGAATGAGGAGCAGTGCGTTGCGCTGGCGCAGGAACTCCTGCAAGCGGACCGCGTCATCCACGAGCAGCAGGTACGGGCATTGTGATGGCCGGCAGTTGGCAGTGGTGGTTGCTTGTGGTTGTGGCGGTCACTGTCGCGTGGCGTGCTTAAGAAATGCGTCACTATGCAGCCACTCTCTTGCTTGAACCCACTCCGTCTTCAATGCAATTCAACTCACCTCCCCTCAACAACCCACCATCACCATCCCCATCGCAATACACCATCGCCACCATCACCAGCTTGGGCTGCAGTGGGTGCCGCCGCTCGAGGACGTGATGGACTCGACGGTATCTGAGGAGGAGCTGCAGTCGCGTAAGGCCTCGGCCGTCGCCCGCGAACTTCTGGACGGACAGGGTGCGATGGGCTGCTGCCGTGATGCTACCGATGCTCATGCTCATGCTGTTGGTGATGGTGTTGCTGTTGGTGTTTGCTTGTGTGGAGGTTCATGGGGGGGAGAGGGTGTATTGTGTGTGCGTGTGTGTGTGTGTGTGTGTGTGTGTGTGTTTGGTACAGACGAGCAAGCGCATGCAATTCACCTCCTTGCTGCTTGTCCCCACCCCCTTCTCCCCTGTCTCTCTGTGCACTTTAGACTTTGACGACGTGGATGCAGGGCACCTCACGCACGCCAGCATGCGCCACATCCTCTCCCACATCTGCGACGAAGCGGTCAGCCAACTCAATGTGGTCGTGTGTGCATGCGTCATTAGTGCGCTTGAACGTCTGCATGCGCTGTTCCCCCTTCCCTTCTCACACATCTGTTCATTCATGTGTCTGTGTGTGTTCCGTCTTTGCTCCATACCATCGCGGCCACCTCAGGGGTTTCTGGTTGAGAGCAAGCTGATGCAGCTCCTGGAGCCGCTCAACCCTAAGGAGCAAATGCTCATCAAACTCGGTGCGCACACGTGGAGAGGTGGCGATGTACATGTGTGGGTGGATGCGTGCATGACGGTTTGTATGCACGCATATGTCCACGCTTTCGTTGCCTCTAGGCACGTGAATTCAACGCCTTTCCACCACCACCACTGCTCCAATCACTCATCCCGCGACCACTGACGTGCGCATTCATGTCCCCTTTTCTCATGCACTCGGCGATACGCCCTAACATGTGACATGTGCGTGCGTATGTGCGTACGAAAACAGACGCAATCTTCAAGGCGCTTCAAGTTGAAACAGAGGACGACATGAAGAAACTCATGAAGTATTTCATCGCCCACGCCGACGACAAGGAGACGGCCGACGGAGGTGCGCTGACGCAAGCATATGATGTCTGAGAATGTGTGTGCATGTGTCTGTGTGTGTGTGTGTGTGTGCAATAGTGAGTGTGTGCGTGCTTGTATGTGTCTGTGTGTTTGTGTCTGTGCAAGAGTGTGTGCGTGCGTGCGTGCTTGTATGGGCGTGTGCGTGTTTGTCAATGAGCCTGAGGCGTGTCTTCGTCTGTGTGTGTATGTGCGTGTTTGTGCAAGAGTAAGTCTTACCACTGCATTTGTGCCCTCCTTCGTCATCGCATCTCACGTCTTCTCTTGCTTCAACCACACTCCACGTGTGTGTGCGCTTGTGTGCAGTGCCGACGTTGATTGATCCCGTGCACGTCCCCGCTGCTCTGCGCCGCTTCGTCGAGGACCAGCGAAAGGCAAAAGGTCAACATGAACACATACACGCACATTTGCTGTTGCGTTTGGATGGAGTCGGATAAGGAGAGCTGCGATATCTCACATCAACTGGAACGACACACGCACACCCACACTTGTACACTTCACACTTACTCACACTTACTCACACTCACTCACACTTACTCACACACACACATGTGCACTTCACACTTACTCACACACACACGTACACACACACGCTCACCCATCACCTGTCACCGTCGTCACCATCCATACCTCCACCCTGTCTATTCCTGTCTCTGCAGGTCTGGACGAGTCGCTTCGGCCCGCGCGGGGACTGAAGAACAGGAACGCGGAGTTTTGGCGGCGGTTGGTGGAGATTGTTCCCGACGAACACGACAAGACATACGCCGCACTCATGGTGCGATGACGTGACGTTTGTACGCGTGTATGCGTGTGCGTGCGTGTGTGTGTGTGTGTGTGTGTGTGTGTGTGTGCGTGTGTGTGTGTGTGTGCGTGTGTGTGTGTGTGTGTGCGTGTGTGTGTGTCTGAGTCTATTGTGTGTGCACTCTGTTTCTCTGCCCACGCTCCCTTCTTGACGCGTTATTCACAATCGAACATGTTCCAACTCACAACCATCACCATGGTTCTCATCATCACCATCGCCGTTCAGGACGGGCTTGAGAAGTACAAGGACGCGTTGACGGGACGCGAGAAAGCGATGCAGCGGCGCGAAGAACTTGCGCGCCAGAACGACGAACTCAGAACCCTCCTCAAGACATACATGTCATCACAGGTGCGAGTGTGTGTGTGTGTGTGTGTGTGTGTGTGTGTGTACTCTGGTTGCACTTTGCTTGCGTTTGCTTCCATCTCATCCCATCCATTCACGCCTTCTTCGCAGGTCAACGCGGAGCTTGAAATTCCCCCAACGACGGTGCTTCGCAATCAAATCCACCAGCACCAGCTCGCAGCACAGGCCTCGTCCACTTCCGCCCCGCAATGATACCCTTGCTGCTGTTTGCGTGCGTGTCCACGTGTTTTGTCTGTCATTCACGTTGCCACTCTCTGCCGTGTCCTTGTCGAAGTTGTTCACGTATTCCCTGTCTTGTCTGTTTGTCTGTCAATACGTCGTGTGCCGCCCGCTGCTGCTGTCACCATTGCTCCCCACTCTCGTAATGCACGCTTCACTCACTGTCTCTCAATTCCCGTGCTTTGATTCGCGCACCCCCTCCCCCTCTCTCCCTCTCTGTGTTCAAGGAATAACGAGTAAACTGTTCAGCAATGAGGAATCTGAAGGTTTACTGCCAAAGTGCAAACACGTGCAAGCGCGTTCACACACACGCACATGCACATGCACACGCACCCCATGACAGGTCACAAGAAAGCAAGCACATTCACCAGCATCACTACCACGCGCTCGCGAGTGTACAGAGTGGGAGAGACACCAGGCAAAGCTGCCACATACACACAGCCAACAATACGCATTGGCCTCGGTCAGCCATTCATGCATGCATGATCACGCACCTTCTCACAAAGAACAACGCCACACACAGGTAGGAAGACAGAATAGAATGTCGTGCCAAAGAACACACACACACACACACACAGACAGACAGACAGACACACAGACAGACAGACACAGACACAGACACACACACGCACACACACAAATCACTCAACGAAAACTTGCAACGTTCCTGAGGCACACCATGTTCACTTCAAAACCGGTCATGCTACACAACCAAACACGCTCAAACTGTCACAAACACACTCACACGAACACAACGCTTGCATTCTCACAACTCACACACAAGCAAACACGCCGCACTGTTCACTCGTCTGTCGGCTGTGAGCTGTTGGAGGCGCTGCCCTGGCGGGGAACAAGAGGCGAAGGCGAGATGACAGCAGAGCGCTGTGTCGATGACGGCGTGTGGCGCCGTTGCGACATTGCAAACGCGCTGACGGACAGGAGCGAAAACGCCGAGGGCCGCTGGGTCATGGTGGCAACGGGGGCAGCCTGACACGTGGGGTTACCGATAAGGGTGGAGGGAGAACGTGAGCGAGGGAAAGGTGGGCTGGGGTGGATCAAGTGGAGGGGATGGGCAAGGAACAGACAAAGAAAAATTCGATAAATGACACAGGAAGCCAGGCGGTTGCGATTCTCAACACGAACACAGACATCCACCCATTCACTCATTCACTCATTCACTGACCGAGCTGTGGAATTTGTCTTGGATGATCCTGGTTGACTCGCGCGTGAGTGTGGAAATGTCAACGTGTGCTTCGTCCAGGGCTATGACCGTGACGGCGATGAGGGTGGTAACGGTGGTGGAGGTGGTGGTGAGGATGATTGAACCACATCAACAAAACAAGCACGCATGCACACACACACACACACACACACACACACACACACACACACACACACACACACACACACACACACACCACGTCCCAGCCCCCATCTCCAACTCACTCTTCTGCACGCGCTGGTCCAGGTTTCCGCCAACGGCTCCAAACACTTCCACAATCGCGCCGTCCGGCAGCCGCAGGAACTGGCGATACATGGTTGTCGTGCCATCAAGGTTGATGGTGTGGATCGATACGTGCGTGGTCACCTCGTCCCCAACCTGCCGTTGCATGGCCAGCACCACTTCCTCAGCAGACATGCGACGCCCGCCACCGAGCAGCTTCTTCCGCTTCTTGCCATCGCCGCCCTTATCAGTGCCACCGCTGCCACCGCTGCCGGTGCGGGCGGAGTGTGCGCGTTCGGTTGCCTCGTGTGTGCGCGGGTGCACCTCTGCTGCTGCGTCCTGCTCGTCGGGTGTCCACACGTGGTCGTACACCGCAACTTTTCGCCGCTCGCCGCGCTGCCCGCGCCACTGCTCGGCCTTGCGCACGAGATAGTCTGGTGTGGTGGTGGAGTGGGGGAGAGAAGCGGGGGCAGGGGGGAGTGTTAACTGATGCGTAACTTTGGTGTACGCGTGCATTTCCACAAATAACGAAAAAAAAAAACACACACACACACACGTTGCACAGCACACAAACGAGCGCGCGCAAACACAGATGCACGCACACAGCACAGCACACAGATACACGCACGCACACACACGCACAGCACAGCACACACACACACACAGGCACACACACACACAGGCACACACACACACACACACACAGGGGGCACGCACATACGCACACACACACAGCACAGCACACACACACACACAGATACACACAGAGCACGAAGCACAGGCCTGCCCGAGCACGGGGGTCGCACCGAGTTCCTGGATGGAGAGCTCGTTGTCGTAGGGGACAAACGTGTCATCTGGGGTGGCAGTGAGGCGGCGATAGAGGTCGAGAATGGCCGCGTTGAGATGCAGCCGCAGCAGGTACAGGTACGTCGCCATGGCGCTGGCAAACATGATGACAATGTACACAAAGGCGGTGATGAAGATGCCGGGGAGGCCGCCATCATCCGAGTGATCAAAGTGCCAGTAGAGCTTGAACGCGTCGCCCACGGGCTCAACACCGTCGTATTTCCAGCGCTCGAGAGCCAGGTCGACAATGAGGATGAGCAGCGGGTCAAGCACCGTCATGATGCACCACGCAAGGATGAACCGGTAGCCAATCTCGGGGAAGCGGCCCTAGCAATGGTGGTTTGACGGGGGGGGGTCATGGTGAGGGAGGTGATGGATGGTGAGGGAGGTGATGGACGGTGATGGAGGTGAGACATGGGTGAGCGACGAAACGTGTCGAATGCATTTCGTGTACAACACAAACACAACAACACACATGAGCACTCCGCAATCACAAATTCACACACGCACACACACACACACGCACACACACACACACACACACACACACACACACACACACACACACACACACACACACACATTCGCAGGCGTGTGGTGAGTGGAACGTACAAAGACGTAGCGGGCGAGACCAGCGACGGCGATGAAGAAGACCATGAGGATGGCAACAGCGATGGGTCCAAACGCAACAACACCAAGCTGTTCCCGCACCAGCAACAACGATGGCTGGTGGTGTAGTGGAGGTGATGAGATTTGGGGAATGGGGGTGAAGAGGGTGTGCAGGTGAGTGAGTTGTGTGGTAATGGTTATTAGCGAGCTGACCAACAACGTGCAAAAACAACCCTCGCACGTCTGCGCGCGCACACACACACACACACACACACACACACACACAATCACGCGCTCACACGAATACACACATGAATACACACGCAAACACGCAAACACACAACACACAAACACAAGGTTACAAGTTCACACCTGGTATCCGAGGTTGACTGTGAACGAGCGCACGGTGAATTCCGTGACGGGAACGCGTAGCGCTTGCAGAAACACCCACTGCCCGGCGTAGTGGAGGTAGAGGCGGGCCCAGAAGCACAGCAGCAAACACGCCACCGTGATCCAAAACGTGGACGTCTTGATGCGGTACACGCTAAACTCGCTCCCAATCTCCCGCCACACATAGGCGGTCTTGTCCTCGACTTTGGCGTCATTTCGGCGGTGGGCGCATTGCAGCACCGCCACGCTGTTGGTGTGCTCCTGCAGCGCCTGTAGTTGTGGTGGTGGGGGGGGGGGAGGGGGTTGGCGGTGGTGGAGAGATGATGGACGTCGGACGGTGGTGAGCGTATGTGAGACGGGACAGGGTTGTCAGCAATTGAAGGCGAGATCACACACACACACACACACATGCGTTAACGCACAAACCCACGTATGCACACACACACGCACACACACACACATGCGTTAACACACACACACACACAACCACGAGTGCACACTTCACGTATGCATCACTGTGCGTGCACGGCGGACCTCGAGGCGCGTTGGCGTCTTCTTCTTCGTCATCGACGGCTTTCGACGCTCGGCGGAGAGACGAACGACATTGCGGTGGTATTCCTCAAACGGACCGGCTCGCTTCAGAAACACCTGCACCCCGTCATCACCCTCACCCTGGAGTTGGAGGAGGGGGATGTAATGGTGGTGTTGGTTGGTGGTGGGAGGCAGAGCGAGTGAACGATGGAGATATAACCACACGCAAGCACGCACGAATGTGCAGACATTCACACACATACACAAAAACAAACACACACACACGCACGAATATGCAGACACTCACAAACGCACACACAAACGCACACACCTGTAAGAGGTGCTCCTCCTCAACTTCGACCGCCTCCTCCTGAATGCCCGAGAGCTCGCGGAGTTTGGCGTTGAGGCCGTGCGGGGGCGCCGGCTGCGGTGCCGTTGTCGGGCGTGAATGGCTGATGGTGGTGGCGGTGGTGGTGGTGGTGGTGATGGTGGAGACATGTGAGTGGATGCTAATGGAAGTAGTTGGTTCACTGGCACTCGGGCACGCACATGGTGACATTTGCGATGAACACAGCAAGACTGCGTGCAGTGTTGTGCGTACATGTGTTTGACGGCTTTGGCCATTTCATCCTCTGGCGACACATGCGCAGGCACGTCGCGCTCAGGATGCCCTGTCGTGATCGCAGCCGTGATTGTGGTGGCCGTGGTGAGATGGGTGCGAAGGTGCGCATGTGTGCGGAGGGAATTTTAATGCCACTCGCGTGCATGCAGATCAACAGCTGCAACCGCTCAGTAAGGCGGCATGGCAGCTCACTGCTGATCAGCACTACAATGATACGACCACACCACCACCACACCACCACCACACCACCACGTCGCCAAACTGTCACCACATGAATTCACGCACCGAGGAGAGAGCTGGTGTATTGGAGCTCCACCTCGTACTCGCGCTGGCCGGACGTGTAACGCGGCAGCCGCGAGACCGTAAAGTACCTGCCATGATGGCGATGGGGAGAAGGGTGAGGACACGCACACGTGCACACGCACAAACCATGTGCACATGCAAGCAAATGTGGTCACACACACACACAGAATCATAATATTCACGCAATCACACAACACGCGCGCGCACAATCACACACAATCACACACACACAATCACCCACGTGCACAAGCACGCACACACACGCACACACACACACCCATACATTCACACAATCACACAATCACACAATCACGATGGCAATCACTCGTCTCCCTGCTCACAGGTTGCAGAGCCAGCTGTCGAGGTCGCGAGCAAGGCGCTTCTCAATCTCCGCGTGGGTGATGACAGACGGGTCCATGTCACCGCGGTGCATCGGCACCTTGAACTTGCCAGAGACAAGCTCAAACTCTGCACACACACAGGATGTGGATATTTTTTGTGGGGGGGGGGGGGTGAAGGAGATGAGAGGGGGGCAGTGAAATGCAATGCGCAAGGGTGGGGTAAGAAGCACGTGGTAGACGAAGGAGGTCGACAATTGCACGACGAATGGTCTCTCATGACACACACACACACACGTACACACACGTGCACACACACACACACATGCACATCACACCACATCACATCACACACGCGACCGCACCTGAGTTGATCATGGGAAACACGCCCCATGCGAGGGCGCGGTCAAATGGGGTGCCGTCATTCTTCAAGATGAAGAGTTCAAACACGAAAACCATGGACGGCTTGATGCGCGCTTCCGGCGGACACACGGTAAACACGCTCTGGTTCACCTGCAACATTGATTATCACGGTGATGGTGTGGGTTTTGTGGTTGGTGTGTTTGGGTTGGTTGTGGTTGGTGCGTTTGGGTTGGTTGGTGAGAAGGGGGCTGCTGTGATTCCAAATGCTGGGTTTGGTGTGTGCTCAGCTGCCAACGCGCTGAGCCAAGCATTTTCGCGCACACACACACACACGCACACACACACACACACACACACACACACACACACACACACACACACACACACACACACACACACACACACACACACACACACACACACACACACACACACACCACGCCATCCCAAATGACACGGAAACTCGGTCATGCACTCACGTCTGTTTCGATGGAGAAGAAACGAGCGTCGTGCTTGAATGGCAGCGTGTTCCCACACCACTCTTGGCCTGTGGACGGAACACATATGGAGTGAAACAAACAAACACACACACACATACAAAGGGAGACAGAGAGGCAGGCAGGTACATACACAAACAAACACACGCACACGCGCACACACGCGAATCAGCAACGCCAACGATCGAGCGGTCACACACAGTGGCAACCCAAGCGAAAGTGTGTGTGTGTTGTTGTTGTTGATGATGTTGTTGATGATGTTGTTGATGATGTTGTCGGTGCTGTTGTTGGTTGTTGTTGTTGTTGTCGTTGTTTAAGTTGCTGCTGCTGCTGCTGTTGTTGTTGTTGTTGTTGTTGTTGTTGTTGTTGTTGTTGTTGTTGTTGTTGTTGTTGTTGTTGTTGTTGTTGTTGTTGTTGTTGTTGTTGTTGCTCACCTGGAAGTCTGGACCAGCGCATGAGGTGTCCGCCGAGGCGGTCGTACATCGACACGGAGAGGACCAAGCGGCCACTCGCGCACTTGTCGCGCAGACCGCGAATGCATGCAAGCATAATCTGCACGGGCTGTGGGGCCTGGCTCCAATCAATGCGCCAGCGGCGGCGGCGCGTGCCAGAGTAGATGCCATCTGGCGATGGTGAGGGAGAAGGGGTGAGTGGCGGTGAGGAGGGGAGTGACAATGTTTATCCGAGGACGATTGATGCAAACAAGACACGCAAGGTCAAGCACAACACAAACACACAAACAAGCAAGGTCAAGCACAACACATACACACAAACAAACAAACAAACAAACAAACAAACAAACAAACAAACAAACAAACAAACAAACAAGGTCAAGCACAACACATACACACAAACAAACAAACAAACAAACAAACAAACAAACAAACAAACAAACAAACAAACAAACAAACAAACAAACAAACAAACAAGGTCAAGCACAACACATACACACAAACAAACAAACAAACAAACAAACAAACAAACAAACAAACAAACAAACAAACAAACAAACAAACACACACACCTGTGAGGGTGAGGCTGCCGTATGTGGTCTTGATTTCACCATGACGGCGCTTGAGGGCGTGCACGAGTCGCTCCTCGGCGCGGCGAAATGCGCGGGACAGCGCCTCCATGTCGCGGCGGCGGCGCCGACGGTACAGCTGCTCCGCATCGCGCAGCTGATTTGGGGGGGGGGGTGATGGAGAGACGTGGGGTAGGCACGGTGTGATCGTGAGTGGTGTGATGGTGAGTGGGTGTGATGGTGAGGGCAAACGCACTTGCGCACTTGCACACTTGCACACGCATGCACATGCGCACATATTTACACAACGCTCATAAAAGGCCTCAGCCCCCTTCGCATCCAACCCATCGCTGTTGCGGCGCGTGTGCACACCTTCTTCTTCTGCGTCTTGACGAGGTGTGAGAGCTCCTTCTTGGCAACAATCACCTGCTCAAGCAGCATCTTCTGCTTCCGCGTCAACTTCTCCTCCCGCTGTTCGTGCATGTATGTGTGTGTGTGTGTGTGTGTGTGTTGTCTTTGAATGAGGTTGATGGCAGTATCGGACAATTCACTCGCAACCACCTCGTCCTGATGCACACACACACACATAACACACACATACACACACATCACACGCACACGCACGCACACACATCACACACACATAACACACACACTCTCTCTCTCTCTAACAAAGCCTGCACGTTCACCCATCACCCCCGTTGCCTGCACGCACGAATTGTTCGTATTTTTCGATTTCTTCGTGCAGCCGGGCCTCCTCTGCCGCAATCTGCTCCAAATCGAGCCTAAACACCACAGGGACACGTGAGCACGGAGGTGAGAGGCGGGGAGGACACGCGTGGGTGTGGGTGAGGAAGTGAAGAGTACGTGCACACGGCGATGTGAATCGAACAATTCTGCCGTGACGGGCCAACTCGATGTCCGCACACACACACACACACACACACACACACACACACACACACACACACACACACACACACACACTCACACACTCACTCACTCACACACTCACACACTCACACACTCACACACACTCACACACTCACACACTCACACACACTCACACACACACACACACACACACAAACAAACAAACAGAGTGGGGCGAAAACGTCAACGACTGACATGCCGATGGAGATGTGCTGCTCTTCTGTGTCGCCCTGGAGTTCTTCGATGTAATCCTGTGCACGCGATGGCTCCTCCGTCACCAGCGCCTCGCTGAACGCCGCATCTGACGTGCACCATGCGGTAATGCGACGCAAGGGAAGGGGGGGGTAGGGGTGAGCGCGAATTGCATTGGTCACAGGGAGGGGGATGAGAGGTCGATCTACTTGTGTCGTGAAACAGACAAGCGGCACAGTGCATGCAAGCCCATACGTCTACACGAACGACACCACGCCATCGCCTGCATTTGTGCAATCACACACACACACAATCACAATCACACGCACACACACACACTCACCTGCGAGGTTCAGGGAGGTAAAGTCGCTGAGGACGTCGTTGGATGCGCCCAGCACGGTTTCCAGATCGTCCAGTTGCACGGCCTCTGCACTCTCAATCAACGCGTCAATGTCCAAATCCGCCACGTCCACCTCCCCAGCGACTGCACCATCGTTGCTCGTGCGATCGTCGCCCGCTTCCGCTGAAGCAGCACGCTCCGCGTCAGCGTTATCATCGTCGTCGGTGGTGGTGGCGGGGATTGCGGTGTCTGCTGCGGGTCTATCATCGACCGCTGAGGCTGCCGTTGTTGCCGCGGTCAGCTGCGTTGTTGCCGTTGCTGCGCTCAGTGCATCGTCGTCATCGTCTTCTCCTGATGGGTTGCCAAAGGCAAACGATGACACCGCGTGAGACGAAGACAGACAGTGAAAACACGTACACACGCGTGCAGGGATATGCGCCAACACACACAGATGCAAACTCACACACACACATACGCACACGCACACGCACACGCACACGCACACGCACACGCACACGCACACACACACACGCACATGCAACAAAAGGGAAACCATCCTTACACCCATCCACCCATCCACCCATCGATTACCATGGCGAGACGGTGCTGCAGCTGTTTGTGGTCGTCGCTGTGTCATTTGCTGTGCACTCGATGGCGGGCGGCGGGCTGCCGCTGCGCTGCGAACAGGCCGCTGGTGCCGTCTCCGGCCCGTCGCCGAAGAGGGTGGGAGTGTTGCCATTGGATCCTTCCCAACCTTCCCAACAGATCAGCTGAGGTGTTGTGTTCGACACTCCCAGAGATTGCCTGGTCTCCTTTCACACATGCGATGCAATTTGGCAAAGGGGACGGGGATGACGACGACCGCAACCGTGGCAGGTCGGAGGAGTGGCCAAACAAACCCAAAGCAATCAAGCCAACGTAAGAAGAAAACAAGAGAGTACCGCCAATGAATGGATAGATGGGGCAGTGTGGATGGATATGGATTGGTAGGTGGATGGATGGATAGATGGATGGATGGGTGGACGGCAGACAAGGTCGAGGTCGATGATGATGGATGCTCGTGCATTGGCAGGCGAGGCAGCACCAAAACCAACCTTCGCAACGAATCGAAAGGTCCTCTCCTCTCCTCGCTCACATTCGTTCGTCGTCTTGCAAGTTTGGGCCTTGCTACTTTATATGCTGTCGCTCACGACGCATTCTTCTGCCTCGCAACGCATCCAAACAAACTCGTCCCCCTTATCAAATCAAGCAAGCAAAGCAAGCAAGCAAGCCCACAACGACGACGATGAGCACGTATGACACTGGGGTTGGCAGGGCGCTGGACTCAATGCACCTGTCGCTGAAAGGCGACATCCAAGACACCAAGGATCACATCTCTCGCCTCCGCTCACAGCTCTCATCACCCAAGGTGTCGTCGCTGCAGTGTGTGTGTGTGTGTGTGTGTGTGCTTGCTTTGCATTGTGGTGGAAGTTAGAGTGCATTCACATCAGTCAAGAGGTGTGGATGTCGTTGGTTGATGTTCATTGCCATTGAGAATGGTGTCACACATCACCATCACAGCAGCCTGTCTCGCTCACCAATTACATGTGCGTGTGTGCAAGCAGGGGAGATCGCAGCAACGATACACCACCGATGATGATGATGGTGGTGACGATGACGGTGGTGATGGGTACG